AATTCTTTTGCAACGCTTGTTAATTTTTAATATATAACAATACCTGTCCTGTATTGTAATGGCATTTGTAAGGTAATGTAAGGCATTGTATTGTAATGTATTGTAAGGGCCCAGATATATTATAATCCATGTAGCGAATATGAGCAAATTAGTAATTCGTCATGCATAGCAGATGCTTTGGGTAACGAACCCAAATTCCTTAGTCCTACCCACTCAGTAATGCACATCTTTCAGACTTTCAGCTGTGTCCCTGCTTCACTTGAAGTCGTTGCCCAGCTCCTGGAGCTCACTTTGCAGTTTACAGGGCAGGTTGAGAGTGCAAGAGAATTCATGATGTCTCTGAGCAGCCCTCTACCAATGAAAGATCTGAGTCTTTGCATCAATGCCCCAACTCCCTCACACTTCGTTAACACCTCAGCTCCCTCCCAGGATCAACTCTGAGGTGTGTTCTTTGCTGGCTCCTACGATCCCCCAAGGATTAAGCTCCTGTCATTCACAGTGGTGATTTGATTGAGAGTAAATCTTTACTGGCTACCTTCCCCTTCTCACTCCCTCTAGTGTTGTCAAGGATCACTTCCTAAATAGGATTTTTATTCTTTCGTAGAATAAAGTTTTATATTTAGAATGAAATTACTTTAGAAGAGCAAAATATCTCAGGATTTTCTTCAGGAGAACCCAAACACATTATGAAACCATCGCTCATCTACTCTACCATTGTTCAGAAACTCCATTTCCAGAAATTAAGCAATCATCACTTCTCAACTCTAGTTACAAGCCAAAATCTGCCAAAGGTCTATAGCAGAATAAGCGTAATACAAATTTAGCCTACAAAACATCGATAATCTTCATTATTGTACCTTTTCATCTATAGGTCTTCACTGAGGTCCCATTAATCCAGAGAAGAATTCTGCAGTTCCCTTCCTGGGTAATCATATGCCTTGGTACTGCCATTCTGAGGATCAGCAAGGATGATTGCTGCGGGTCTCATGATACAATGAAATCCTTCTGCTTTGATTCCAGGGCTTCACCTTTAACCTTATCCATGATGTGTGTCACCAGAACCTTGGGAGTCTCTGTTTCTAATTTTCCTAACAATAAATATCTGCTTTCCCCTAAGGTTATGAAGATATTTGCCTTGAAAATAACAAATACCTTATAAATTTCCCTAATATTCCTCTTCACAGCTCTACATCTCTTTGTTCACATTATTTTGTTTCCCCAATTTCCAGAACTTTCCAGGGAAGAGCAAGGGTGAAAAGATCGCAGAATCAGAAGAATACGGCCATTATGCTTGATATTTTCTGTTAACATCCTCGTTCCTCTAATTCAGATTTATTCTTCCAAAAGTGTTCATATGTCATTTTTCATTCAGTACCAAGCTTTTATTTTATTATTTTATTTTATATTTTTGGTACTGAGGATCAACCTCAGGGCCTCACCCTTGCCAAGCAGGTGTTGGACCACTGAGCTACATCCCCCCACCTGCAGACTTTTTATTTTTCAATCTTGATTTCTTCGTTAATGTGTGGATTATTTTTTAAAGTGTCTGAATTGAGAGGGCTGCCCCATGTCATCACTGAGTGCCCTCAGATCCCGGGGATCAGAGGTGTGGTCCAGAGCAGGGCAGCTGCAGGCAGATCCCAGCCAGGGTTCTGCCCTGACCCCAGACCTCAGGCACACCCGCTCAAGCCAAAGGCCTGCCCAGGAAACAGCTGCACAGGCACACAAGCTTCAGCCAGAGGCCTGCCCCACAGCACAAGCAACACAACTCATGATAGCTACAATTTGGAAACAGCCGAGTTGCCCATCAACTGGAGACTGGATAAAAAAAATATGTTTTTTTAAAAAATGAAACGGAGTACTACTGAGCCATAAAAAAGGAGAAATTAGAGACATTTATAGCTAAATGGATGCACATTGAGGCCATACTCCTAAATGAAATAAATAGGACACACATGTAAATACTGAATATATTCTCTCGTGTGAGAAATTGAAAGTGTAAATAAGGACTAAAAGACATAATAGATAATGTGAAATAGGAAGAAAAAAGGACAAAGGGGAAGGGAAAATGGGAGGGGTAGAGGAAAAGAAAGGGAATGGAATTAATATGAGAAAATGAAAAGTGGAAAGAAAACTCTATAGATAGGGAGGGAGGGGTTGAAGGGAAGTGAGAGGAATGGGAAAAAATAAGAATCAAGATGGATTACGTGAAGGTGCAAATTCCCAATGATGAGTGTCCTTAGACTGTATACCTTCAGTGTACTAATAAAATTAATGTGAAAAAGTATCTAAATCATATTAGATTTTCCAATATACTCTTTGGGATTTATTTCTAATTGAATTACATTGTTTCTAGAGAATTTTACATATGAGATAATTTATGGTATGCTATAGTCAATTTTCATGCATTTAAAAAAATGTGCTTAAATGGAATAGGCATCCCACCACAGTTCAGTGCAGAGTTTGATAGAATTGTGTCTACCAGCTCAATTTTGTTGTATATTTTCAATATGCTAAAATTATTACTCACTTGTCTAATTCATTTTATAAAGATATATATTAAAATATCCCACCTGATTATGAAATTGTCTACTTTTAGATCTGTATTTCTATTTTGTAGATTTCAAGTTATGTTACTAGATGCCTAAATATTTCTTCTTGGTGAACTAAAACTTTTATTTTCATGAATTATTTTCATATTTAGTAATGTGATTTGTCTTAAATATGTTCCTCAATGTTAGAAATCAATCATAAATGATACTATGAAAATCCATATCTATTTATGATACATTTTTAAATAATCCATACTTTAAGGATCTATTACTTCTCTTATTTGATTATTATTTTTGTGCTATAGCATTTTCAGTTATTTCACATTAGGCTTTCTTAGTGTATATTTCAACCATCACATAACTCAAGGATTTTGTTTATACATTTGTATCCAATGCATTAACTTTTAATTAATTTGCTATAATTACTAATATAGAAATTTTAACATATATCCTTTCAGTCTAATATGTATTTTTACCTTTGTCTCCCTCCTGGATAATGTAATAATGCAACAACTTTTAATTATATTTATCCTTTTTTCTTATAAGCTATTGAAATTATTTTTCTATTGCTAAATGTTTATTTGATGTTATTTTAAAATTATTTATTTTTGTGTGTATGTATAAACATATATATATACACACATATATGTGATATAAACATGTATATTTTAAGCACCATAGACATTTTTTTAGGCAGTTAAGTTTCTCTCTCTCTTTCTCTCTCTCTCTCTCTCTCTCTCTCTCTCTCTCTCT